CATAACCTTTTTTGGAAGGGATGTACTATATCAGGACACCATGGACATTTGTTAACTAAACTGAAGGGCCACAGATGGGAGGCCAAATAGTTACTATGACCACTTCTACAATGCCATATAAAATCCAAATTAAATGCTTTGAACTAGATTATATGGCATTGTAGACTCATATAATCCAGTTCAAAGCCGATAATGTGGATTATATGGCTGTCTAGAAGGGGCCTACATTGCAAGCCTATGCAATATTGAGGAAATTCTATTTTAAAAAAGAATTGTGGCGTCCATAGAAATATTTTTGGAGAAAATGTTTTGGGCAGCACTCTATACTTTTAGTGTACTCACTAGGCATCTCTGCTCAGAAAGAAGCCCTCTGAGACCCTTTCTGCACAGCTGTATAACATCCAGATTATCTGCTTTGAAGTGGATTATATGGCAATGTAGATAAGTAATTGTGTTCAAATCAGATAATGTGGAATTTCTACTTCGATAATCTGGTTTATCTGGCAATTTGAAGGGGCCTACATTTCAGTTAAACTTACTCATAGATAGGATTGCAGTCTTTAGGGCCCTTCCACACAGCCATATAATCAAGAATATCAAGGCAGAATAACCCACAATATCTGCTTTGAACTGGAATATCTGAGTTCACACTACCATCTATCCCAGTTCAAAGCAGATAATGTGGGATTTTATTAGGCTGTGTGGAAGGGGCCTCAGTGTTATGACAGCTGACACTGGCAGTCAAACAAGCCTCCTAACTTATTCCATTTATTCATTGAATACATACACATACTACCTTTTTGACTCAACAAGGTCCACAGTGCCAGTTAAAATACAGTTGTACAAAATGATGAATAGACCAATTTCATGACTCAATCTGCAAGAAAGTAAACAACCAACACAGAACCAATAGTTCACAACCCAACCCTTGCCTTAAAGGGTTGATTAATGTGCCATTAATCAACTAACCCCAAGTGTTAGGCTCTTCCTTGTGAAACTACTCAGATACTTTCAGTTGTTTTAGATGCTAACTCCACAGTTCTCTGCCCTTGCTAGCAATTCCATGTTGCCTCCTCACTTCCTGCTTGAGAGCTTCCTTCTCTCAGAGATAGACATGCTTCCTAAAACACATTACTCTCCATGACAGAGTGTGTTCTCTGTATGTAGATGGGTGAATGAAAATCACTGTGAATCTTGTCTATGTGCGTGCCAAAGACCCATTTCAGCCACGGGGTCAGGAAAGTTCTCCACTATTGGCAATTGATTTCCTTCCTGTTTGTTGAGTCCTGTGTGATGTCTAGAACTAGGATTTTATGTTTTATCATGCCTGGGCAGCAAGCAATTCCTAAGCCATATGCAGCAGGCAAAGTGTTGTGGCCCATCTGCTGCTTGGCAAATGCCATGGAGACATTTCATAAAAATCAAAGTAGAGAACTATCAAGCAGCTGGCATGCTGGAATTATATGAAGCCCAGTTTAGATGGTTGAAGCTTTTTTATTGAGGGAGCCCATGCAAAACAAATGAATATTTTCAGAAATCTACTAAACATTTACTACTTGCTCTTATCATCCAGCATTAAAGTTGTTGCAAAATATTCCTCTAAAGCCTTGAAAGGCTATGCTACTATTAAACCAAAATCTAAAAGATTGTAGCTCTTGTTACATAGAAATGACAAAGCATTTCTAATCAAAGGAAAAGACTGATTGATGAACATGTGGTATAGTGATAGCACCTTGGTAGTGATTATGAATGTCATGATGCAATAACTAAATACCTTTGGTATGGTGATGGCTGAGTCATAACCATGTGAAGATTATTGCAAAGGTGTTGTATTAACCAGTGTCCCATACTGATGACCTATCAGCAGCTGACTACATAAGGAGGATGAAAGAATCCATTTTTCTCTCACCTGTGTGATACATGAGTATCTGACTATGTTGTATTGTAACTACCTGATTACTCTGATTGTTTGCAAGTACAAGGAATGATGATCTGCTAATCCTGTTTGTATATTTGTATATATTGCAATGGTGAAGATTAAAGTCCTGGATATTTTGGATGAAAACCTGAATCCGTGAGTTTACTAATCAGTGTGTAGATAAAGTCAGATGCTGGCAGTTGGACTCTGCTGATAGACGGGCTGAAGTGCATGTGTTTGCTGTGAAAGGACTCTGCTGTATTTTTGCTTGCTTCTGGGGCACTTGCTATCCAGCTTGCAGTGGTTTGTGATCAGCATCCCATGACAGCTCTCCTTTAATTCCCTCATATGACTCCTTTCAAAGATCAACTCTTGGCCTTTTCTGAGTAGTCTTGTCTTGCTCCTAACCCAATTACCCTCTTTCTTTCCCCTTGATTTACAACTTTTTCCCTCATTTGATAATATTTGGTAGTTTCCTGGAAACAGCTTGAAAGTGCCTGATAATGAGGAGGAGGTTATATCTCCAAGAATGTCTTGATCATGGCCAGTGGCCATTCTGGAAGTTTTTAGCACTTCTGACACTACCATAGTTTATACCTTCTGTAACTAAAGTCTTTAACGCTAAGCTAGCTTCACAGCTGCTGTATTCTTCCAGCATCTGGATTGGGGGTCTAACATCAAAAATCAACCAACAGCAAACACAGTTCTTGAGGGCCTTTTTCTAGCTCCCCAGGTGTGTACCCTCCTGTGTCTTACTACTTGAATCTGGTGAAGCACCCCTGCCAATAAGAGCCTGGTGGTGGGCACTTAAATATTGGATCAAGATCAGAGTTTTCATTTAGGGTCCAGTTTGATGCACCACTTAGCTCAAGATGAGTACATAAGCAGTTGGTCCAAGATCATTTCTAAGAAAGCTGCCTCCATTGGCCTTTCCGCATTTCTCCGAACTCATCTGGGTTTTGACATGGCTCTCAAATCAATCAAACAGAGACTGTGGGACATTGCCTTTTGTGAGCTGCGCTCTCTCTCCTATGTATCCTGCTCTCCTAGTGCCCTGTCCATACAATATGTTGGGCCTTTTCATGCAGCAAACTATCTAAAGAACTTGACAGTAGGGAAATATCGCTGCCTATTTTCCAAACCTAGGTGCAATGTGCTCCCGTCTGAATTGCTGCGTGCAAGATTTGCAGGTACTCCATACAATGAAAGACTCTGCCCATGTAACAAACAGGAAGTAGAGTGCATCTACCACATTCTACTGTCATGCAGTTTCTATGAATAGGCCCGAGCAGACATAATCAACCCCCTACTAAGGAATTTACCAGCAAGTTCAGGGAAATTTTATGTGAAGTTTCTACTTAGTGACAGCTTTCCCCACGTGACCTTGGTGGTTGCCAAGTTTCTTTCTGAGGCAGCCAGGGTTAGACAATTCCAAATTTTAGACACAGACTGAAAGTCTTTTACCTATGATTTTAGTTAACTTGTGTTTTAAGCATTTTTAACTGTTGTTAATTTTACCCATCTGTGTGCCCATGCAACTGGTTGTTTCTTGATTCTCATTGCCTGCATACCTTGAGGCTGAAACACACCGGCACTTCTTGTAGCTTTTTACTCTGATTTTTTAGGCAACATGTGTTTTAAGCAGTTTTTACTGTTTGCAAATTTTATCCACTGGATGTTCTTAATCTCATTACCTGTATAACTTGGATGCTACAGTGTAATAAGGGTCTCTGAACCATAATAAAATTTATCTATCTATCTATCTAACACTACTATAGCACTACAATTACTGTGGAATCCTGAGCCTTTGGTTTTCCTCACCAACTTCCAAGACCCAGGATTCTGTAGTATGAAACTATGGCAGTAAGAGTGAAATCAAACTGATATAATGCTACAGGATGGAAAGGGTCCTAAACAGCCCAAAATGTTTGATGGCTGTTCAGCTATTTCTGTACACCAATTATTCATCAGAAAACTGAGGGTGGTAGTGAAGAACAACAACATTTGTTCTTTGGGAAACTAATTGTTACTGCATACTGGTATCTCATTTCATAACTTAGGTGACTTCAACAATGGACTTTTAATATCACTAGAAAAACAGATTACTCTTTTCCCACATCCCTGTATTTGAAACCCCTGATGAAAGCAGAGCTTGAACAGACAACATAGAAGTGTGATTAAACAAGTGACCCATTCCATTGTGCCTTTTGCTCAACTATTAATGGAGAAAGTTTAGCACAGTAGACAGCAGTGATCAGAAAGTAGACATCTTGCTCAACTAAACTAGTTACTTAAGTAAAGTAATAATGAAACATGCTTCAAATCTAGATGGAGAAACAATCTCATGAAAGATAGCCCCATCGTTCTAGCTTCCTCTTTTACCAACAATTGTCTCAGCCCTATAGGTGCCTTGAGACTTATTTTGGCAGAAGGATGGGATATAAATCAAACAAAGAAATGGAAGTATAGCTACAAGAAAGGAAGACTTTATAGTATGAGAAACAAGCATATAGAATATATGCTGATGATTGCTCAGTGGTCTAGCTGAAATGAGAAACTGGGCCGGATCTTTTGGAGAATTTTACATGTTTCCTAATGAACAATGAGGATCAACAAGGGGAAAACCCCATTTATTTCTCTCCCTTAATTTTACCTAAAACAAATAAAAAGTAATGCAACATTGTCTGAACTACGGGGTTAATTTATTCCCTCTAAATGTTTTAGATGTTTGCAGTTATATAACTATTGACCATGGTCGCTGACAATTACAGAAGTTTTAGTTCTTAAGATCTGGAAGACATCATATGTTTATCGGCCTTAGTATATACAGATACACAGTCATTGTTAAATACCAAATTCCAAAGCACTTGTTTCTATAAACCCATCCAGTAAATAGTCAGTGGAACCTGAGTTACCATGCTTTGAGACACAAAAGTTAGAATCCTTCTTGATTGTGCAACATTGCATCATTCTGTATATTCTGGTTGTTTGTAAATCATTGTGTAAGCATTTTACCATATTAATATATATATATTAGTTTCATATGCACATTTAAAGCCATATTTTATCCTTTTTTTTCCAGAAAGCCCACCAGAAGACAGATGGAAAGATGTGATATCTAAAGTTGCACTAATAAGCCTTGTTCCGTTGCTTGTGAGTGCCATTGCTGTGAGCTTTATCTTTTACTGCTACCGTATTCAGAGGAGGAGGAAGCTGAACAAGGCATGGGAGAAAAATGTGAAATCCAGAAAACGTAATGACTGTAGTGATGTGTGTGCCATTATGTTGGATGATGACCGCTCTGATATTAGTTCTACTTGTGCCAATAACATTAACCATAATACGGAACTATTGCCCATTGAACTGGATACCCTAGTGGGCAAAGGGCGCTTTGCTGAAGTCTATAAGGCTAAACTGAAACAGAACACATCAGAGCAATTTGAGACAGTGGCTGTCAAGATATTTTCCTATGAAGAATATGCATCCTGGAAGACCGAGAAGGATATATTCTCCGATATAAATCTGAAACATGAGAACATCCTCCAGTTCCTCACAGCAGAAGAGCGCAAGACGGATTTAGGCAAGCAATACTGGTTGATCACTGCTTTCCACTCAAGGGGAAATTTGCAGGAATACCTCATAAAACACATCATTAGCTGGGAAGATCTCTGGAAATTAGGTGGATCTTTGGCTCGAGGGATTGCCCATCTCCACAGTGACCATACACCCTGTGGCCGGCCCAAAACACCTATTGTACACAGGGACCTGAAGAGCTCCAATATCTTAGTGAAAAATGACTTAACCTGCTGCCTCTGTGATTTTGGACTTTCATTGAGGCTGGATCCTACTCTTTCTGTAGATGACCTAGCCAACAGTGGTCAGGTGAGTCATGGCATGGGAAGTAATAGAAAAGCCGGAAGGTTTACAGTAGGTTGATATGTCTGGATGGAGGGCTTGCATAATGGTTTGGGGTGCATGCTAACTCTATGTAGGATGGTCGACAGGTTTTAGCTCATGTTTTTTGATATCTCTCTGTATGTTAGAAAGGGGGAGGGAGATGGAGAGTTGTACACGATGTGTGTGTGTGTGTGGGGGGGGGGGATTAAGTATGTATTAACTAAATTCAACTCTTCTGCTAATGAGGACAAGTCAATATACACATAAGGGTATCCCCAAAAACCTTATTAATTTGGCCAGGTTAAGAGTGAAATTGGTCCAAGATCACCCAGTGAATCTCATGCTCATTGTCTAATAGAATCTGGATTTCCCAAGTTTAACCAGCACATCACACTTTCTCTCTTGTATAGTAATATTATATTTTGCAGTGAATTTACATGAACTGCATGAATTGGTTTGTCCATCAAAAGCATTAACTGCTTTCTAAATGCCCACAGGTCGGCACCGCAAGATACATGGCTCCTGAAGTCCTGGAATCACGAATGAATTTGGATAATGTTGAATCCTTCAAACAGACAGATGTGTATTCCATGGCCTTAGTTCTATGGGAACTGACATCCCGTTGCAATGGTGTTGGAGGTATGCGTAATAGACCATCTTAGACCCTGTACATTTTTAAAAATATAGTATATGTGTCATTAAGTACTACTTAGGTCAACCTGTTGCAGGATGTTTTAATTTATGAAACTTGGACATTGCTTCTTTCACCAAAGCCCTCAATTTGCAATTTGATTTGCAGGTGATATCCCATCCAGGTAGCTTCCAGGACAAACTAGAACTTAAGGAATAGAATTGTGGCATTATGTCATATGTATTCAGATTAGTGCTTGGGAAAATTGATACTAACATGCCTGTTAGAAAATTGTGTCCCGTGCCCCCCCCCCCCAAAGTAACTTTTCCAAGCTTTGTTTTACACCATAAACCAGATTTCCCCGATTAGTTCAATTCTGGGTATGTTTGATTACAACTCACATCATTTCCAGCATGTGCTACAAAGAAGACTGTCCTAAACTATTCTACATCATCACTGAAGCATTTTTCTTCGGCTAGACATTATGTATGATTCAAAACAGACCACATTCCCACAACCTATAGGATGTAGTCCTTATCTGGAATTATTAAGCTGTCCTGATGACAAAAATTGGCTTTCTTTAGCTAGTGTATCTCTGCAATTCTGACTGATTGCATTCCACAGCTTGTCTTTTTAAGGCATAGGTGAACTGTTTGCTCAGGAAGACTCTTATCCTCGCTGATGCCTGAGATCACTTCCTTTTTCTGTTTGAGAACATTGGCATAGTGCCCAGTGAATAATCACCCATACAGCAGTTCTGTTCAGGAAGTGACAGAGTTGCCTACAATTCATGTTATCTACAAAGAAAAATCATGTGTCACTTAAGGGTTTTGTTTTTTTTAAAAAAAAGCATTGAGATTCTTCTAGATCCTTCTCCAAAAATTAATTTAAAAACAAAACAAAATTCCATGGTAGAAGCCTCCTTAAAGTGTGTGTGTGTGTATACACACACACACATATGTAAAATATGGGAATCCACAAAAAACAGAGTTAAACCTAGAATTCCACACTTATAGAACAAAAGAACCAGCTAATAGATTGTTACAACTATGGGAGAAATAAAATTAAGGACAATGTTACTTAGTGAATTGGCTAATACAGCCAGAAGTAGATGTGAACGCTATGGGAGAAATAAAATTAAGGACAATGTTACTTAGTGAATTGGCTAATACAGCCAGAATTACTGAAAATGATGCTAATCATAACTATTGTCTCTAATAGTAACTATTTTAAAAGTCTTGGCAACATTTTTAAAACATTTGGAACATGTTATACAGCAAGGTCCCACAGGTAGGATTGGCAATTCTTTTTCTGAAGTGTGTGAGTGGACAAGTGATATGGGGTAAACCTCCAGGAATGTGTTCTCCAGGATTGTGGGGAGCATGTGGTCTTCATGTGTTGTTAGATTTCAGTCCCCATCATACATATCAAGCTTAAGTATAATTGAGATGACAAAGGTTGTAGCCCCACAACACCTATTTCAGACATTAACACAAATCTGTCATGCAAGATTTACAGTGGACTCTGCAAAAAATACTTCAACTGCACTTCATAAAAAGGAAAAGCAATCTTGCAAATGCTGATCAGTAAATGTTTGGTTTTTATTCCTATTTTATATACCTATCTATCTGGGTCACCTAAAAATTTCTCAGGCCCAAAGGGGTTGCAAGTGGAATTTTTTTAAGGAGCTCAGATCTATTTTGCTCACTAGCCTGTTTTGTAGGTACAGCTGCTGAACTGTACACTTCAACTGACAATAGTTTTAAATGCTGTGTATAGAATTCTTCTATCTATTAACTGCTCTCTCTGCCCCCACCATCTCAAGCATGGTTGGTGGGGACGAGGGAAAGAGCCTTCTCGGCGGTGGCCCCCTGGCTCTGGAACTCCCTCCCTAGGGAGATCAGACAGGCTCCTACCTTGTCCTCCTTCCGAAGTCAATTAAAAACCTGGATGTTCCGGTGTGCTTTCAATTAAGCACCTCACCAGTAATTTCCCTGTCCCTATTGAATTCTGCACTTTACTCCAGCCCTCATATGATCTACCTCAACAAGTTTATGGCACTATTTCCCACCCAATCTACTGGTTTGCTGCACTTTTCTTGCGCTCCTGTAAAATGTATTGTTCTCCTTGAATCCTTTCTCAGCCATATTGGTCTTAGGTTGGTTATAATTGTGTTGTATTGTTTTATTTGATGTTTTAATTGGTAAGTGTTTTACTTGTGTTTTTTTAATTGCAATTTTTAGTCTTGTCCCTTGTAAGCCGCCCTGAGTCCCTGAGGGGAGATGGTTGGTGGGGTATAAAAATAAAGTTATTATTATATTATTATTATCTGGTAGATGTTGTCCCTTCATTCTAAACGCAAGGGGAAGGAAAACCTCCCTCCCTATCACAGGATCACTGTCACCAACACTGGATGACTGGGATAAGGGTGAGGTTAAAGCTTTTCCCGACCTCAGTTATTCTGAGATTCCTCTTCATCCCAGTGGAGGTGGGTAAAATCTGTACCCTTGCAGACATTGGCTTTTGCTCTTGGAAAAGAGAAACCCTTACCTCCTACACTATATACATTTCATTATAAGCATTTCAAAGTTGGAAATCTGTGGCTGCATCCACACTACAGAACTATAGCAGTTTGACACCACATTAACCACCATGGCTCAATGCTTTGGAGTTTGGAGATTTTGTATTTTTGTGAGATATTTACATTTCTGTTAGAGAGCTCTAGTGCTACAATAAACTACAGATCTCATGTCAATGTGGCATCAAACTGTAATGTTTCTGCAATGTGAATGGCCTCTGTATGGATTTTTGTGAATAAAGGAAGGGCATAAAAGAGTGCTTGGTCAATGAAAATATGATTATTTTGCTTTTGAGATTTGCCATTTCAGTCAAATGCATAATGCCGTAAAAAAGGGGCCCTATAGGTTGTTCGAGGCAGAGATTGTGAAATGTGCAGATGTTCTTCTAAGCCAGTCCTTGCGAGGCAGAGGTGAAGCAAAGAGGTGAACGCATGAACACATTGCTCATAGTATCTTAATCCTTTCTAGCCAGAATTTCCTTTGACATGGAGCTTAATTGGTATGTTAAAGCTGTATATAGCAATATATTTACAGGTGAAGGCAAGACATTAAAAAGAAGCCATTTGATGGGTTAAATGTGTAGGAGAAGTTGAATATAGTTTGCTTGATGTTTTACGCAGTATAATTTAGAAGTCATATTTAGAAACTCAGCAATGCTGCTTTTGGGAAAGCTTGAACTGTTTCACTACCCTGTTAGCTTGGTATTTCAGTCGGCACAACAGCTGTGAACCAGATGTTATGCTTTGTGAGAAAGATCATTTCCATCCAAGCATTTTGCCTTTGTGCTCGGCATGGAGACTGTGAGAAAGGGAGGCGCAGAGAGTGTTAAGTGATCTAACAGGCCCTCTAAGAGCCGCTTATTTTCAGGACCTTTGTTGCCAGTGCATGACATCAGTCAAAATCAGTAAGGTTACTAGGGAATAATTTGGAAAATATCTATCAAAATGGCTTCTATTCCTTGTGCTGCTTTAAGCAGTACTGTATTGTTGGAAAGAATTGCTAGCTACACAAAAATGGTGCCTTTGATTTCAGTATGAAAATATCAGTTTAAAAAGTTTGCAAAAACTTTGGTATTTTAGGAAGCAGAGAAGATAACAGGCTCGGTATTTCTGAATAGCAGAAATACTATTTTCTGTTTTTCTATTTTCAAAGTGTTCAAAAGGTTCTGGTGTTTGAGCATGAATTCACAGTCAATTTTGCCTCCAATAAGCATTGGGTCCTGTTCACTGGAAAAGATGAAGTTAACTTCATTTTTCTTGATGCAACACTTTTTTTGTTTGGGGTGGGGGGGGTGGATTGATGGAAAATTGGCATGCTAAGAATTGCAAATTTTCACTGAGCTTTAAAAATCCACTCTTATCTGAAGGTATGGAGAAACCATTGTTGCAGTTATTGTGTGCCTTCACACAGTAGTAAGAGGAGTTATTGTTGTAGGTATTGTGTGTCATTCTGGCTTACAGTGATCATAACATGAATCTATTATAGGTTTCTGGGTTTTGGCAAAAAGGGTTGGCATCCTCTGAATCTAAGAGGTGACTTTTCCAGTATCATCCAGTGTATTTCCATAGCTGAGTAGAGATTTGAATCCATGTTTTCCAACATCACACTGGCTCTGCTACTACTACTACTACTACTACTACACACACACACACACACTATTATATGTGGTGGTACAGCATTTTTAATGAACTACCTCCGCCAAAATAAAATGGAAGTATATGAACTGTAGGCCTGCCCCTAAATACCTATACATGTGGAACATTGATATTAAAAAGTAGTTATATAGAAATAATATCTGTTTGCAGAGCTTTTCCTTTTTTTAAAGAAAGAATTACTAGCTTCTACCCTTTTCTTTTTTTCAGAAGAAAGCTTGGCACTTCTTAAATTGCCCTTTATTGTGCCTCAAATCACACTTGTTTCCTTAGACTGGCTCCAGGAAATATAGTTTGTGTGTATTTCAGCTTTGTCACACATCCTTTCATGTCAAAAATAGATAAAGAAAAATGATCTCTTCCAGCCAGTCAGATATATAGATCACTAATGTTCCGCAGCAGAGTTGTGCAGGGCCTATTAATATGAAACTTAACTTTTTAAAAAATGCAAACTTAAAAAATGCAGATGTTAAAAGAAAGTATAGATTTTACAAATCCACACTTAATTCAGTAAACATAAGTCATGTTATGACAGTACCTGTAGGGCACTTTTGGTGACACAAAATGCTGTAGCTACTTGCAAAAAAAAATATTAAAACCAACTCAAAATGAGTTTGTAATGTAAGCAGACTGCTGTTGCAATCAATTCCTGCATTCTTTGGGGTGTTACTGATATGCTACATTAATCTTGCTAGTGCTATTGAAATAGTGTAGACCTTACTGAAATATCTAAGACTACTTACAGTGTGTTGCTTGGGGTACAGGAGATCAGCAGACATAAGCTCAAATAGAATATAAATCTTAAATGTGTACCTTTGTATGTGATACTTGAATGAACTGTTGAGGAAGTGCTATTGCTCATACTGTGCTCTTTCCATTCATAAGATCTCAGGTTCAATCTCTGACAGCACCAGGTAGGTCTAGAACAGTGGTTCTCAACCTGTGGATCCCTAGATGTTTTGGCCGTCAACTCCCAGAAAGCTGAACAGCTGGTATACTGGCTGGGATTTCTGGGAGTTGTAGACCAAAACACCTGGGGACCCACAGGTTGAGAACCACTGCTCTAGAAAAAAACATCTGAAACCCTAGAGCCACTGCTTCCTGATGGCCTGACAGTATAAGGCAATTTCAGTTTCCTAATTTAACAGTGATACATGGATGTAAAAACATAGCCACAACAGATGTGTTAAACTACATTCCATAAAAATACCTTTCATCTTGTGTTTTCTCTCCTGAACTGCCAACTTCCTTCAGGTTTTTTTTCCTAGAAAAGAAATAACGAGCTACAGAAAAAGCCAAGCACTAAAGTCTCCTACCACTGCCAAAGATTCATTAGGTGTATGAGTAAATTGTACATGCATTTTCAAAGACAGGACACTCATTTCTATGCTATGTGGAAATGTATGGTAATAGCAGCTCCCTTTTTGTTGCCAGAGTGGGTAAAATATTTTTGGGTTGGGTTTTTTTAACTTTTATTTAAGAAATCTCATACTTTTTTTCCATACAAAACCAGTTACAAAGTGAAAAACAAAATTGGAACCCATGAACATGGGCAGACATGGGTGTGCGTCCCCTTTTGTATTACATTGGGCTTGATTTGTTTTTAATGGCTGTTCAGGAACTGAGGCAAGCTCTCAAAAACCCATCTGTTCATTGTTTGCTTGAAGTATTGTGAATCCACCCAGTTTTGGCTTGGGTTCATTGATTTACAAGTGAGATGTGAGTGGAGATTTTTGTCTCCTTGGGATCCTCTGAAAGATTTGTCCTGGGTTTTTCTATTTTATAGTTTAGCTTTATTCATTGATTACACTTACATTGCATCTTTCCTCCAGTGAACTCAAGGCAGCATGCATGCTTCTGCAACTCCTCACTTTTTCTTTGTAACAACCTCATGAGGTAGCTTGGGTTGAGGAAGCAGGTTTCATAGCTGAGTGGAAACCTGAACCCAGATTTCCCAAACTCTAGTATAACAATTTTTTTCACTTCACCATTGGCTCTCTCTTATGCTGTTTCCAAATATGCCATAATAGTATCTCATCCTTCAGCAAAAAGAAATGAGACCAGAAAGAAGTTAGCTTTAGCAATAAGTGAGCTGGGCATTTACTTTGGATGCCAAAATAATGACATACAGAGATGAGCTTGGTGGCTCAGTGTGGAAGGCTTTCATGGTTGGAATCACAGGGTTGTAGGTTTTTCAGGCTGTATGGCCACGAGACCTCACAACCTCTGAGGATGCCTGCCCCAGATGCAGGCAAAACATCAGGAAAGAAGGCTTCAAGTACATGGCCGTACAGCCTGAAAAACCTACAACCACTCAGTATTGTTTGATTTTACTGTCAGCAGATACAAGAGAAAAATAAATGAATAATAACAACAAACATCATTTTACTTTACCTTCCCCCTAAGATTCTACAGATTGCTTGGATATGGCCTACAAAAATTAGCTTCCTGCCAAAATGAATTCCTACTAATGAAGTCTGGTGCATGTTTATTTCTTAGTTCCCAGTTTGAGGCTGGGTGGGTTTTTATTTCACAAGCACTATGAGTACTGTAGGAACTGCAAATGGATATGGATATGTGATGGTGGGCTAATGAAAGATCCTTGTTGAAGACACTGTTAGGAAAGACTTGTCTATATTTGGTGCCTAGTCCTCATTTCCTGGCTTCTTGCAGAGTTCTTGAACTTGCGGTTAGGCCAAACCCAATGCCTGAAAATGAATCCCAAGTCCATCTTTATCATTGAGAATATTCCTCTTTTTCAAGCCGATAAGCAGCTTATGTATGGAGAAAATGCTCGAAAATGGGTTGTGTTGCTTGGTACTTTTTGCTTTTTCCTGTAACAAAGTTCAAGAACAGCCATCAAGTTTTCTCTTCATGATCTTGGATTGCAAGCCAGACTGAGTGCCCTTGTATTTTCTTATTCTCTTGGCAGAGGTCAAAGACTACGAGCCCCCGTTTGGTTCTAAAGTGAGAGAACATCCTTGTGTGGAAAGCATGAAGGACAACGTTTTGAGGGACAGAGGGCGACCAGAGATTCCTAGCTCATGGCTCAACCATCAGGTAAGAGCATCAGCCTTTGCTGGGCAGTAATGCCAGAAATGAACTTGTAATAGTTTGTGCTTGGTCACTTAGATTTGCCCTATCAAAGTGCTTATAAATGCATTCACACAAATCATTTATGATTTTATTTACATTTCTTTTTATATATTAATTTTCAATGTGGGGAATTCCTAGGCAACTCAGGAGGACCAACTATAAGTCATTTGGTTAATTTAGCGATGGGTGTATCAAATGTCAGTAAAAATTCAGTGGGGGTCAGCCCTTTGATTATTTGTTGGTTGCCTTTTAAAAATTCTTAGCACTCTTGATGAAAACCACCAACAGTTGGTGTTATGCTAACCCTACTGCAAAATTTTATAATGTAGCCATTATGCATGATATAAACCCTTGAAATGGATTTTGCATAGCAGGCTTTGCCCTCTCCTTCACTTCTTAATGAGATTTGTTGCACTTCAGGTTTTTAAGTTAATGTTTAATATTTAATTTAACTTCAAAGTAATTCCAGCGTGAATACAATTAACATTTTACAATTAACTTATCTATCCGAACGTATCTCAGCCTATCAGCCCACCAGGACCATAAGATCTTCCGGAGAGTCCCTTCTCTCTATCCCTCCAGCTTCAGAAGTGCGGCTGGCGGGAACGAGAGACAGGGCCTTCTCTGTGGTGGCCCCCCGGCTTTGGAACACCCTCCCTATAGAGGTACGATCAGCCTCTTCGCTGATGGTGTTTAGGAAGAGACTCAAAACTTGGCTGTTCAAACAAGCATTCGGCTAATCTGTGGCAATTCGAATATTGATGACTAAGGACAGGCAATATGGACAACGAATTCTGGATTGTGATTTTAACTCGAGATATATGGGATTATTATTGGTGGCCCAATAATTTGTTATTGTATGTGTATATGTTTTTAAATTGTAGATTGTTTTAACTGCTGTAAACCGCAATGAGTCGCCGTTCCAGGCTGAGATATTAGCGGTATACAAGTGTATCAAATAATAAATAAATAAATATTTTCCAATATCATTGTACCATTGACATCTGTCAGCATTACCCAAGTGGTAAATTATGCAGTGCATGCAGGGCTTTGTGATGTTGACATATAGTCACCATAGCTGTTATTTTGATCTTACTCACTGTCCTTTTATGTTTTTGTTTTAATACATTGCTACAAAGGCAAGTATTTAAGTTCTTCCATTGGGCTGCGTGATGTCCAGTCAACAAAGAGCTGGTTACAAACCAGCAATGAAGTCCTCCAAAGTAGCAGGACTGTAACCCTCCAAGTGTTCATGAAGTGTTACTCCCGCCATCTTCCTTTGTTGGCCCGGGTAGCTTGGCCAACAATGAGTTCAACACTTTGTTGCACACAGGTTGTGGTGTCAGTTCAATTCTTATGGCACCACTCTAAAAGTTCCTCCCAACTCTATTTTCTGCACCAGATAGATAGATAGATAGATAGATAGATAGATAGATAGATAGATAGATAGATAGATAGATAGATAGATAGATCGATCTATAGTGGACTGAGAAACCCTCCTGTTTAGTGTTGGGGAGTAAAGAATGTGAGATTGCCCAAAATCTGCTGGAACTACCTTTCAAGAGCACAGTTGAATTTGGGACAAATCTAACCACCCTTCCCAGGTGGATCCCTTTCTTATGATTCTTCCCATGCGCTATAATCTATCCAGGGGCTTTTTAGAAGTACAGGAGGTTAGAGGGATGAGCTTCCATTCAGACTATTTAGGATTTGAGCCAATGTGCACTCCATACCTCCTGAACTATTTTCTTAGCAGATGGCTGAGATTCAACAATGCTGTTCCCCAGACATGCCTCACAGTGAGAGACAGCCCACATTTTCATGTCATGGAAAGTAAAAACATTTCGAAATGAAAAAATAGGGAAGGCTTTTTATTTTTGTCAGCAGAACTGAATGTTCACATCTCTTGTAGTTCCCTTGATCTGTCCGGATTTGAAAAGTCCTTGCCAATTCTAGTCCCTGAGTAACCAAATCAGTGTGCAGGTGCACCCATTAATGTGAGCCTTCCAAACTTTGCATTAATATGCACACCGGCTCTGGATCTTGTAAAAGACCACTTTGTACCCACCACCTAGCAGACCTATCTCTAAAAATATCCACAATGTTGAGTGGTGGTGATGCACAGTGGAAATTGAAGAACTTGAAAATATTGCTCTTATTTTCTGTACTATATCTTCTAGTCAACACTGGTAGCCATATTGTCTAGGGGGATTCAAAGAGTTGTGGCTCAAGGGCATGATCTTATTGGAACAAAACACTACTGTAGTAGTCATCAATGCTATCAGTTTAGTATTCTTTGGGGTTGCAAATTTTTATTTGTTTCTTGAACACCTGGCACCTGTGCAATGAGATTTTCACAGATCCAAGGCAGTCTGCAAAAGAAGGAATTAATAATAATATTGTGCCATGGGGGCAGGTGATTGTCTGGCCCAGCCTTATCATACTTGTTTCTGGGAATCTCCTTCATGCTTTCAAGAAACTGACAGTATGTTGCTGATGTTGTTGCTGCATACTTCCATGTCTGTTGCCTTCCTCTCCACTATCATAGTGGAGATCAGCCACTAGCTGATCCAGAAGGATTTTAACCCCAGAAAATACATTTCCAAGCAGAAGCAAATTTATACTACCACAAAAAGGAATAGATTACTTTAAAGTACATTTGTTACAAACCGCTGTCTGCCAGCAGCCTTAATTCTCTATGTGTCAAATGAGAATCCTAATCCTGGAGCCCTTTGGTGCAAGCTTATTTCCTTTTGACTGAAAAGGTGGCTGATGTAAACAGTAATGCAGGTTGCTACCATTTGGAATTTTTATTTTCCCTTAAGCACATGAGATGTAAATCTAGCCAAGCTGTGTTTTCTTCAATTTTATTTGCATCCTTTCAGTGTAGTGACACCAATACCATGCGAGTAGATACTGTGTGAATTTGCACACCTTACAAATAGTAATACCCTGACCTGTGGAAGGGCAATCTTACAGTGTTGTACCTATTTTTGCTTTTGCTTTTTTTTTTTTTTTAAAGTGTATTCATTGCCTTTTCTTGGCATATTTCAGGGCATCCAGAAAGTTTGTGAGACCCTTGTCGAGTGCTGGGACCATGACCCTGAAGCCCGGCTCACTGCTCAGTGCGTAGCTGAGCGGTTCAACGATTTTGAATACCAGGACACACTTTCAGGAAGAAGCAGCTCTGAAGAGAAGATCCCTGAGGAGGGATCTGTGAACAGTGCCAACTAACAACTAGCGAAGCAATGCTTGCACGGAAGAGAAAGAGGGAAGAAAAAGGCTTCTCTTGAGGTCTTGTGTGCACAGTCCTGGAACAAGAAGAGGTCTTGAGTGTATTTTCTGTGCACTGAAGATCCCATCACTCCTTCAACATTGCAGCTCCCATGGAAAGGAAATGACTGTATGAGGAAGCCGTGATGGGCAAACTGTCATGCCAGAGCAACAGTTCCCTTGACTGCGTCATAGGATGAGCTACTTTGGTGCTTTCTCAAGCAAAGGAGTTTATACAAAATGCCAATCGTGTTTGCACTATATCAATGCCTGTATATATATATATATATATGGAAGAGCAATTTTGCATATGTATGTATGTATTATGTATATATCTATATCTATATATACACATAGCAAAGCTCTACAGAGAATCTTCCAGGAAACTAAAGTTTCGATAGGAAACTCCGTCAGTGGATTGTTCAGATATCCTTTGAGATACTGGCAGCAAAAGTGCCTTATTCACCACAACCTGAATCAGAAAACAGTCAAACACTACACTGTAGTAAATGGTATAGATCACTGCACTACATTTTTTGCTACTGAGGAACAGAAAAGTTCACAACTGCTGAGAGTTTGAGTTGTATTTAAGAACTTGAACAAAGTTGGTTTCTGGGACTACAGCTACCAAAATCTCCCAATACCATAGCCATGGAAAAGTCATTTTTTTCTAAATTCTGGCCATACTAAAGTTTTTATGTACACAAAGAAACATCTATGCAATTTTTGTTCAGCTGATTCCTGAATATATTACAATTTGTAGATTCAGGGAATCACTTCTGGATTGAAATATATTTTAACATGTCTAATTCTGCATAGAATTCCAAATAGTATGTCATTTCTTTTTCTTCCATATCTGTGCAAAGGACCATTAGTTTTCCCGTTCCTTCCTTTGCACTTGAACTTTATGTGAGTAGTCTGCATGGGGGGTGGGGGAAGAAAAGAGAGCGAGAGAGAGAAAGAAGCAAGGCTTTTTCCAGCCCCCTGCCTTATGAAATCGGGCTGGGCCAACTATAATTGAAACAGATGTTTTACATTTGCTGTGCATTCTGACAAAAAATTGGACTTCTCTCCCCTCCCACCCTCCTTTCTGGGATTTGGTAACATCATGTCTAGTTTCTTGAGCCCTTAAGTTCACACTTGATTTCATGCCCAGTATGAAAGGAGGGAACAGCACACCAATATCTTCCGGAGTGTCTGGATTTCTGTGATGCTGCAGAAACGCCAAGGCAAGCCTTGTTTTTGGTCGTCCTTTTCGTGCGCGTTGTAGCCGAACCCTGGCTGCTCCTCCTTCAGAGCTGCTGGCAATACAAGCACATTCCTAAACTGATCCCCACAGGCATGGCTTACATTCTTTGAGTCTTCCAAAATATTTAGATTCAGAGCTGGCCTCTTGAGGAATTTTAAATGATGGGATTTCAAACAGTGAGTGTTTTCTTCCTAGATCATTGGGGTGCTCAATTTATCTCGGTTTTGTGCTGGGCTCAGAAAAGTTTCCTTTGGGACAACTATTCCCAGAATTCCCCAGCCAATAGCCACTTACCATGCTGCCTGGAAGATTCTGAGTTACCAAAAAAGGTCATTTTCCACCCTCTAAATCAGTTCAAATCTGGTTTTACGTGCCTTCCTTTTGTTTCAGAGTAGAGATCAAGAATTTGTTGCCAACACTCAATTAAATCAGTCTGCATGAGATAACCCTTCATGTGCAATTCTCCCCCAAAGAACCTCTTGCTTTGTGTACCCAATAGGGATAAGAAAAAGTATATTCACATAGGAGTTAAAATTTTATGATGGAAATATTTATTTTTAAAAAAAGCTTTTGTGTCTGTTTTTATATTAAAAATTTCTAGAAATATTTAAGCATTAAGTGGGCAAAAGCCCTTGAAAATGGAATCCAGATTTAATTGCAGTGGGCTATGTACTGAACTGTGGAGCTACTGGCAAGACGGGTTTATACTGGATTGAAATGTTGCTAAACTGAGGTGAGATCTACTGACCTCTAGTGTTGGTTTCACAGGGTAGCGCCCTGGAAATCAACTGCATAAGGAAGAAAAAAAGGGAGCTTCAATCCAAACTGGAACATAGTGTGCTTTTCTGCTTCAAATCTAAACCACTATTTTCAAAACAGGTTGAAACATTGTGACCCAAATGCAAATGCTAGCTTCAGTGAATCAATGGGATTTTCATAGGTCTTGACTAAATGTTAAGCAATGGGTTTTCTCTAGGTAAGACCAGCACTTTGATTTGGGTTATCCCTCTGCCCAGACCCATTGTCATTTCACTGCCACAACTCTTAGTTAGAAAAGATTCCTTGGATTTCTGGACAACCATGAAAACATCGTTCATCCAGATTTTAGAGGAAGATTGGGCATACGCACACAGAAAAATTCAGAGCTGAGCACGCTACTTGTTTTTAACTAGAGCTGCCCAGAAACATCTGGATAAAAAAAACACCATAGGTGCCTACTTATTAAGGCAAGTCTTTTACCGTTATATCTTACCACAGAGGCACCAGCCTTGAGAAGCAACATGCTGGATTTGGTGGACCTTGGCAGTGGTCGATTGCACTTTGCTTGGCCCATGACATTATTTTGCTTGAGGCAAAGGAACGATGTCCCCTCCTCAATTCTATGAATAGGAAGATCAAGTGAAGCCATATGTTAGGAAAGAGTATCAATATAGGGACAGAGAAATGTATAACAGTGTTCTGTCTTTCAGGAGTGAGAATGCCTTTGAGGTCAGGGGGATCCGCTATGGCAGTGGTTTTCAACCTGTGGGTCCCCAGGTGTTTTGGCCTACAACTCCAGTTTACCAGCTCTTAGGATTTCTGGGAGTTGAAGGCCAAAACATCTGGGGAACCACTGGTTGAGAACCACTGCACTATGCAGATGTCACAGCTGCTTCTCAGCAGCTGCCACTAGAGGCAGTCTTGTTACTCTAAGCCTAGGCCTTCAACTTTTGACCTGATCTATCAGGACTCATGTTTTGTTCTCATGAGAGTCAAATTAGCTTGATGCTGGTTATATTTACAGTGTAGATTCACTGTGGTTCTCCACTCAAAAGCAGTGTTGTTTTTGATATTTTTCATGCATTGCCAAAGATGAAGAGACAGAGCATCCAGTAGCTCCTGGCAACTCTTTAACTTTTTGTACTATTTCATGTAAAGGGATTTTTAAAAATACTTCCATGGAACACCTCCATGGTACAACATGTATGAAAATAGGAATGTGAACATATATAATCATGTTTATAAAATGTTTCAAGCACTTACCATATTTTTGTATAAATAAAATGTTTTAGATTATATATGAGGTTATGGTTTTCTTTGGAGGTGTCATCCATCTGTCCCAAAATGTATTAGGAATATTTATTAATCATGACCCTCAAACTAATGACATTAATCATTTCCCTTCAGCAAACAAAACAAGAGATTAATCATGGCAGTGGTGAGGAATCTTAGGTCCAACATAGGTTTTTGATTTGCAACCCCCACAGTTCCTTACCACAAGCCAAGGTAAAAAGTCCAAACAACAATAACAGTGAATTCATTAACCACCTCTCCCTGTGGCTCAAGGCACAACTAGAGTTACAGTGGCAACTTCTTTGTCCTTCATAGCTGTGTTCTCCTGCTTTAAAGCTGAGGAACAAATGGTGGCTGAGATCCTTCATCTGTGTCTCTGTTGCTACCTGTCCCACTGCTAGCTTTTTCCATCTAGACAGGTAACTGCATTATTATGGGATAATTGCATTATGGAGTAAATTGCTTCAATTTACTCTAGAAATTGTAATAAAAATGAATCTCAAATCTTTGGGTTGACTTATATCCATGGGTCGGTGTGAGTTCTGAATCTTATTTTTAAAAAGGAACCACAATGTTCTCCGAGTGGCAAAATGTGAGAACTTAGAACCTAAAAAAAGCACCAACTCCCTCTAATTTCTCCACCACACCACCACTTCTGACTTGTCTGAATGTCTGGTGGAGAAATGATGGCAGTGGCTACCTCCTTGAGGTATCTTTGGGTGCTTCCCCTCTACACAGAATTACATCAACTTATCCATGGGTAATACCAACATCCATAATTGTGGCCTCCAAACCTGCTCTAGACTTATATACATGAGGTTGACTTATACGTTAGTATATTGTGGTTATTAACTCAAGGGATGAAGCTTATGTAAGAGGGCTTTTCAATCCCTTCATCCTATATCCCATATATTCCCTCTTCATCCTCTATCTCCTATAAGAAACATCTCTAGTGCGCTGGGAAACCCTCTTGTTAATGTGAGGGAGGGAAAAGAAATCGAATGGTGCTATTTTTCAAGAGCACAGTCAAATGTGGGACAAATCCAAATCCATTCACCCTATGTCTTGCTGAACACTTTCTTGTGTTTTTTCCCATGCCCTATAGCACTGTTGGCAATCCAATGATATGTGCCAGAAGGGGGCATGCAGCCCCTCTCTCCTGGCACACTAGCCCCGCTCACCCCACACTCGCCTGCTTGCCCACCCCTTTGCCCACCCACTGCCCCCACTCCCCTGCTCACTCACTGCTTGCCCGCTGGCTGCCCCCTTGCTCACCTGCTGCTCACCCCCCCCCCCCCACACACACACACTCAACTCCCTCTGAATCTCTAAACGGTTCACCATCACTACTCTGTAACTATCCAGAGCCTTTTTAGAAGTGCAGGGGGTTGGAGGGCTCGGCTTCCATGGAGACTTTTTAGGTTTTGTGCGAATGTGAATGCCAAATTTCTTCTGCTGTTTTTTAGCAGATGATTGGGATTCAAAAAATCTACTTCCACTTCCACTGCTCCCAACCTAACCTTTTAAGCTATGCAGCTCCTCCCAAAAAAGGGAGAAGATTGTTTAAGGCAATGGAGAGTGGAGCAATGAACATTGGGGCAGCTAGCATGACAAAGTGATTTGGATGTTTGACTAGGACTAGGCAAATCACACTCTCTTAATCTCACTATGTCATGCTGGCAAAGGCAAACTCAAAGTCCTACCTGTTTCTCCATCTGTAAAATGAGAATGTGCATAATTCATAACCCATAGGGTCATTATAGGAAGGAACAGCGTACACAAAACCAACAACTGTTTCATGTGAAACAGTGGTATTAGCACAACTGTTGTAGTATAATTTGAAATGGATTTTTAAACTCTCAGAGTTAGACAAGGTCATTCAATAATAACTATTACTGTTTCTTTCTCCTTTAATTGTGGCTTGAAGTGTCCTCTGATTTTAAGTGTAATGCTTTTAAGAGGGAGGAAAGGACAAAGGGTAATTTCAGAGATAAATGTAACCCCAAGACCATGTGTATCAAAGTTGTTGCCCTAGATTGTATACAGAAAATGCAGAGTTATTTGACTGGTGAAAGAGTACCCTGCATGGGAATGTTACAGAAAAAATCTCAATTGGGTTTTTACAATATCTGTGCAAACAATGGGTGTGAGAAAAGTATGGGGGAAGTTGGTAAGAAATGCATAGGAAATGAGTGCAAGCTAAGTATATAGACTAATATAAATTTATGATATAACTTCCAAAGTATTTACTTGGATGTGATGCCTGTAAAATCTCTGTTAATGCATAGCTATAGCAGTAAGATCTTTTCACCACTGGACATGAAAATTTGTCTTCCTAACCTTGAATTGTTAGCTACATTAAGAGAGTGCAAGATCCGGTCACATCAATCATCAGTTAAGTTCTAAGTCATAGGAATATAATGCCAAAATACAAGCCCAGTATGTACATTATTTATATTTACAATACCATATGCAAAGTTTACCTATTGCAATAGACCAAAAACACAAGGTTATCAACATACAAAACTGCCTTACAGTCATATTTTTCATGCAAGGACAGTCATATTACATGCCATAAACATCTTTATGACACCAACATTTTGTTGAGGTGGTCAATCTCTTTCTTAGAAGATGCAGCAGGATCACGTATAGCTGAACTATTGGCTGGCACTGTTAGTGAATTTTGATGGCATAAATGTGTTTTGATTCTTCCCTACCCCAAAAATGCAGCACTGCTTGTGTATTTTTTATTTTGTTGTATTTTGCTGCATATCCAACATGTCATGAACATTTTCATCTTAAATATATTAACTTTGCCCCAGTTGCTTAACTTGAGTAATCCAAGTCAAGACATATTTCACCCAACAGTGTAGACAAGCTTGGCTGAATCATAGTGAGTACTATCCCAAGGAATTAATAGATCTAAATTCCTAATAGCTTCTGGACACTAACAAAATTGCCAGTTGGCAAACAGTTTAAGTGATGTATTGGTTCTAGTAGGCATAGCCGTAGATTTAGGCCAATTAATAATATCAACAGAAAAGATTAATTTCCATCTGAACAATTAATTTTATCAGCTCTGCCAATGGAGGCACACAGATAAGATAAACAACACAAGGTTATCAACATACAAAACTGCCTTACAGCCATCTTTTTCATGCATAAACCCAGAGATTTCTGCATGTTGCTGATAAATAGAGAAAGGACAAAATGGTAAACAAAGCCATTTCTACACTACAACATAAAATATCTACTAAACTGCTGATCTATCTCAGATGCCAGTTAATGACATTGGGAATTGAGTTCTTTTGAAAGCGCCAATACTAGTCAGGCTTCTTAACACTCTTGCACAGCCTTTTACAGTAGTTAGTCTGTCTTGCCATTGATTTGAGATTGTATTGGAACTAATAATAATATAATATAATTTATTTATATTCCACTTTATCTCCCCAGGGGGACTCAGGGTGGATTACAGAATACATTTATGGCAAACATTCAATGCTGTTATTCAAATTAATAAAGACAAACTACATAGACAGAAGCAAGGCTTCCTTCTTTTTTCTCATTTTCAGCATCTGGAGTCTGTGCTTGACTTGCCATGGGGAGGTGCTGTTGTTCCATTATTCCATGGACATCTTGCTGCCATGTCTTTTACCTCCCCGCCTAAGTGGTACCTATGTACTCACCTTGCTGTTTTTGAACTGCTAGATAAGCAGAAGAGCTAGGGCTGATGCCAGAAGCTCACTCCACCCATGACTTGAACTGTTAACCTTCTGGTTTGTAAGATCTTCTGTAGCTAACCATGGCTATAAACTAAAGATTACAGCTTGTATTTTTGCAAACTGGTTCATACTATTATCTATTCTGAAATGACTTCTCTTATGTCTTTGATAGTGTTCCATGTATGTTAACATTTGGGTGATAGTTTGCAGCATTACTTAACGTATGTTTACTTTTCTTGTTCTTAGCTGTGCTATGTCATCTACATCTATAAACTGGCATTCATGATTACCATATAAACTCATGTATAAGTTGGCCTCATGTATAAGTTCAAGGCACCATTTGGGGTTAAAAATGTGGTTTTTATATGACCCGTGGTTAAGTCAAAGGTCATTCTGTGTGAAGGAGAAAGCATCAATGCCACCTCAGGGAGTTAGCCATCCCTGGCTGCTGCTGCCAGCATTTTCACATCAGGCATTCAAAAAGGCCAGAAGTGATTCTGCGGTGGAGAGAACAGAAGGGGTTGCTGCCTCTTTTGGGTTAATCTTAGCTATATGAAGTGTGGGAGGATATACAGTTTCATCTATCTATCTATCTATCTATCTATCTATCTATCTATCTATCTATCTATCTATCTCTATCTATCTATCTATCTATCTATCTATCTATCTATCTATCTATCTATCTATCTAAAATGTTCATCTCTGAAGTTAAGACTTATTGCAATGGATTACCAGACAAAGGTTTTTGACATCACAAGGTTAGGATAAGTTGCCACAATGAATGAAAGAAGTTTAAGTTCAGACCTGTGGGAATAATCCTGTAAGCTCTTTCAGCCTTGAAAAGAAGGTAAACCAATCTTTCTGCATGTTTTCCCATTAATTCAATATCATGCCTTTGTCACTCTATAGATATATTCCCAACCTTTGTGCGGGCAACCTTTAATCATGGTTGGTAATATACCAGGCTTCTTCTAATATGCTAGAAACTTCCCTCTATTCCATCTTTTCATCATACTATTCATAGCATTGTGTATTGTACTTGTGGATTTGTAGCTTAGAAGTATGGATCCATAACTGCTCTGTATTAAAACTATGTAGTTCAATAAGGTCCTACAAGCCTACCTTAATGGCTATCAGCTACATGAAGTGAAAGAGTTATGTTTACCTCCCAATAAAGGAAAATTATGTTCCCAACTCTCTCCCATCAGTTAGTGAAGCTAAACAATAGGAGGCAGAACCACATCACAATTCCTCAATGCAGCAATTGCTCACTGGTGATTG